CTGACACCACAAGGCCAGGGTGAGAGCCCAAAATTTACACAGGTGTCAAAAAAATCCTCAATCGTCAAACGTTTTAATAATTTTAAAAAATGAAGTTCCTGGTTTTTTAAAAAGTCATGATGCATAAAATACCTAAATTTTAAATACTAAGCTGCAGCTGTCAAGAGCCAGGCAGTTGGGTGTAGGAAGTCAGTGATAGTCAAAGAGGAAGGTGGGAGGAGGAGGAGAAAGAGAACACGGAGGAAGAAGACAGAAGAAGAAAGGAGAGGAGGAACAGGAGGGAAAAGAAAGAGAAGAGAGGAGAAAAGAGGAGGAGGAAGAGAAGATAGGGAAGGCAGAGAGGAGGAAAGAAGGTGAGAAGAGGGGTCAGAAGGTGCAGGGGGAGGAGGAGAGCAGGTCTGGGTTGGGCACCCACAGGATCAGAAGAGACTTTTCTTCCCAGTTGTTGGGATGCTCCTCCAATTCTGGACCACCTCAGCCACTGGGTTCATTAGGAGAAAAAGAGGGAGGAGTGAAGAGTTCCGGAGCAGCTTTCCTGCAGTCCCAAGCTCCCAGGGGATGGATGGGAATGTCAAAGGCCCAGGGAGGAGAAGAGAGAAGCTGCTAAATGCTGCCTGTCTCTGGCAACAGCCCTGGCTCTGGCAACTTCCCAAGCCCAGGCCTGCGGTGGACATCTCTGCACCTCAGGTTCCAACATTTTCCCTCCCCCAGACACGGATCAAAGAAACTCCTGCAAACTTCCTGGGACACACAGACACCGCTTTCCCTGGTGTCACCAAGGCTCTTGAGCCTGGGCTCCCAGGCCAATCAAGAGCCCACAGTGCCAGGGACCCTCCTGCTGGGCCCCACCCTGTTGCCACTCCCTGGCAGTCAAGCCACAGGACAGTGGCCTCACTCTGTAGGATCTGGGCTCCTTTCCTGTTTCCAAAGCGGAAATGACCAATGCAAAGGCACCAGCCTCAAACCTCCCCCACCCCCACCACCACCCCACCCCCTTGCTGTGGCTTTTAAAGTGTTTCCCAGGAAAGAGCCAGGAGGAAGCTGCGGACTGACTGGATCTCTGCCCAGGTTCCCAGGCACTGCCCTGGTGCTGAGAATCTCTCTGCTCTGCACTGTCCCGGCGGGCAAGTCCGGCTTCGCCCTGCGCCTGCAGGCGGTCGCTTCAGCAGCTGCAGAGGCAGAGGGATACCCAGACTGGACCCTATGGTCCCCAGCGGGGTCTCTGTAGCTGCGGTCGTTAAACAGGGACAGTGCCCAAGGTGAAACAGATTCCTCCTTGACAGTTCTGGGGCCAAGCAAACTTCTGTATTCTGCAGCCTCTGGATGAGAATTTCAAAGTGGTTTGTTTACGGAGGCATAGAACCCAGCTCATGCTTACAACCAAACTACATTCCTAGGCTCCTCAGTTCAGCAGGACCTAAATAGTTGTCTCAGTACCACTACACAGCCCCCATCCTCTGTCCAAAATTACTGCCGTCGCTCTACTCAAACATGCAAAAGACACATCCGTGTGGTCAAGAATCTGCAGTTCAAAATGTAAGTGTGATAATGAAAACTGGGTGTTACTCAGGTGTTGTGCATTTTGTGCACATTGCACATTACTGTATTAATCCACAGAGCTGCCTTCTAGGGAGGAATGAATTATGGGCCCTATCTTAATGGAAATGATGAAACCCAAGCTTGAAATGCTTACAAAATCTAAATGCATGTTCAAGTCAGAATTCCAAGCCCCCTCCACTGTACCTCCTAGGACCCAAAGCAGCCATGCTGCCTGTCCTTGTGATAAGGTGATGCCTTGTGCTCAGGGTGGTTTTCCCTGATAACTCAGACTTTAAAGGGACCTTGGAAACTGGATGCTCAGGGAGAGCTTTGAATCTCCCTTTGGAAGCACCTCTGTGCCAGGCACTTGTTCCCCATTTTACACCACAATAATGATCTGCAAAGGAAAAAATCTAACAGGAGGGCAATGTGCCCTGCAAATAACGCTGCAGTCGGTGTTTTACTGCCCTGGTTGCAGCACCAACAAGATGCAGAGCTTAGGGACACCAGAGCAGCTCCCTCTTCTGCCCAGGTTTGACCCATGGGGGCCTCTGTGGTTCCTCAGATCCCACCTGTCTCCTCCAGCTGGCTCAGGCTTCCCTGCTGTGTGGGCACTGTCATGGAATGCACACTAAGGATTTCTTGCCCACCAGAGTCCCTAGGCTGGGCTGAGCCTCATGGGCAGTGGGAAGGAGGTGGCAACTGATTCCTGCCAGTTCACCTTTCCCTGAGCTCCCTAGTTTTTCTGGAAGTGTCGGTCTCCTGATGCCATTCAGGCTCCATGGGGTCACTAAGATAACTAAGGGAAGACATGGCATTTCTTCTGTGCAGAAGCATCCTGTCAAGCGCCAAAGATTGATTATAATTCTATAACAAGCTACTGAAAACCAAGTCCAGCCAATACGATCTGCCACACACTGCGCATGTCAGTGTCTAGTCATGACATCTCCCAGACAAACAAACAAGCAACAGCAACAACAAAACAAAAGCTCCACTTCTTGAGGAAAATCCTCATGGCTGAACAAACTTCAGCATTTGTGACAGGGAAGAAACCATGTGTGCCTTACATTCACTCAAAGGAAGGAAATGTCACCTGGACAAGATTTTGTTTATAGCTGGGAGAGTTCTCATGTGGCTTTAATAACCCAAGGGTTTGAATTGGATCTGAGTGGTCCAAACCCAGCCAAAGGTTCAGAGGCAGCTAGGGTAAATCCCCCATTCTTAAATTCCCTGCAGTCCGATAGGGACCCAGCTGCAGGACCAGGACCAGGTCGGGATCTGGACCAAGACCTGAGCTGGGCTCCTGGGGGAATCACTGCAGCTCCCCAAGCCTGACCCACCCCTCCTCTCTGGAAAGGAAATGGAGATGGTCTAGACCTCAGGCAAAACCCTTCCAGCCCCAGTCTGTAGATTTACAAATTTTCCCTCACTTTTCCATGTGGACACTTGGCACTGGAACAGAGATATCAGAGCAGGGATCTTCATCACCTTCACGTAGGACCTGGTGAAAAAGGACCAATGCTTGACTAGGCGTCCCTAAGTCAGAAGCCCCAGATGTCACTGCTCTGTTCACATAAACGCTCCCAGCAGCGATTCAGACATTTCACACACACCCACACACACTTTATTTCAGGTGCAAGGGAAATGGGACTTGTTTCCTTTCTCCGAAGACCTGTCA